CATATTATGCTGGAACTCCAACACACGAAAAGTTCCAGCATAATATACTGGAGATTGGAACACCTGTGTATGAACTTCCAGCATATTATGCTGGACCAGTATATTATGCTGGAAGTCCAGTATAATATACTGGAACTTTAGTATATTATGCTAGAATATTTTTCAAATTTTGAACAGTATTTTCGTTCAGATTTATCTTTACTTGAAAAGTGGCTAAATTTCGATTATTTTTGAAACTGTGGTTATTTTTCAATTACTACTTATAAATCTGGTTATATTTTAATTTTACCCTGTATTTTTACACCAGGACCAAAGCTAAAAACTAATATGTAGAAGTATTTGGCTCTTTTTTTAAAAAGAAAATGGATTCGTACAATTTAATACGTTCTCCAATTAAATTAATAAAATAATTTTTTTAAGAAATATGTCCTAAAAATAAAAGAATTACATGTCTATGTGGCAACGTGGCACATAAAATTCCTAAAAGATAATAGAATTACATGACAATGTGGCAAGTCTCAAACAGAAAATAAGTTATATATATTGTTTCCAATTGATATTAGGATTTGGACTTAAAACGTAAACCAAAATTGTGGATTAGTAGACTACCTACTGGTTAGCCTTTTTTTCTCAGTTAATTCCCATTAAGTTTCCTCAAATTCACAAACTTTCTTTAACTATATTATCAAACCAGCATATTTACAAATAAATTGATTTAGCAAAATTTTTCGAGGTTTTAAGAATTAGGAATAGGATCCTAAAAGTAATAGAGTTGTATAGCTAATGTCTGGGATTCCCATAAGAAGTATGTCCTAAAACTAATAGGATTACATGACTAATGGGTACAATTCCGGTTATGACCTTTTATTGTAAGTTATTATTCTTAATATTATAAGGTTATTTTAGTAAACCAACATTATATTCGTATTTTTATAATAATACTAGTTTCTATGTACGTGCGTTGCACGTAAATCTTCAATCAATTATTTATGTGACGGGATAAGAAACTAATTATATTAGAATATACAAGAAGAAAGAATCCTTGTAAAGAATTGATATGGATACAATGCTACATCTTTGAAATGTTAAAAATCAATGTTATTACATTAACATAATACCTAAAGCACGTTGGCCCATTATAATTTTTGCATATATGACATTATTGGCTAATCTCTATATGTACTATCATTGTACCATTACATAAGGCAATTGCGGGATCTAAAGTTCATATCACTATCATGATGGGTGTCCTTTTCTTCAAAATCAAACTATGTATAAAGAAGATCTTTTTTAAGTTTAGTATAGTAATCTTCTCAAGAAATATGTATAGCGAAGGTCATATAGTATCAAAATATGTAAGTATTATTTTTGGCAAAAGTTATTGGTATCATCTTCTGTGGAGTGAAAATTGAATAGTGTTTTGCTATCACCAGAGAATGTAACTATCAAAAACTTATTTAGTATCGACATATTTATTTTTATTTGCTAAGACATCTCTTTCCATCATGTATTTTCACAACTTACATTTTCACTTAATGATGAAAATATTTGTCTTGCTATTACCGTTTGACTTGGGAGCCAATTTGAAGTTTGTTTCCCATGTTAACTATATGTTGGTCTAGGACTCATTGGCGAGACATCAACAAGACTTGCACCTTGTAAAAATATATACTTGTGGCATGTAATTATGTAATTTCGTTGTCTATGGTTAAAGGTGTTTAAAAGTATTTTTATTCATGTCTAGCTGGTATGGCTTTAGAACTTTAGCAATAAGGAGGATACTTACTTGAATGATATTATAATTCCATATAGATTAGGAATACGTTTTTAAGGGTCTGAGATTATCTCATAGGTGTAGTCTAAAGTTATTGATCAATTATAATTGATACATACCAAAATAAGAAGCGAAACAACTTTGTAGGAGTTATTGGGGGTTTGCTGCATGTTTGACTCATATTATAATTAGAACTAAACTTGCAGTTTAACTAGAAAAAAAATATTGTGTAGTATATTGAATATTATAATTATATTCATTTTTAACGTGCTTTATTATATCTAATAAATTTTTAAAACAGGTGATTAAGAAAATATTATTTTGGTCTATAAATTAACATAATGATATTTACAATAAAATCAAAGCAAAAATTATCAAATACATACATATCAAGAACCAATAGTAGAATATATTAGAATAACATAAATTAACAATCAAGAATAAAGAATTTACGATAATACTATCTTCGAGTAACTCGTAACTCGAGTCTCTTGCAACCTATCAACATGAAACGTACGTAAAATATAATTTAAAAGACTGACAAAATATTGCAAACGTTAATGTTCTCATAATTTGAAATTTCAAGAATAGTTAGTAGAGACATATAGTTAATTTACCACCAAAGAAGATATGTATTACCCTAAGAATCTAAAACATGAAGAATAAAATAGATTAGAGGAGCGTACATTAAATGGAATTTAAGATAATAAAATTAGCCTTGGTTAGCTAAATATGAAACCACTACTTTTATGGAATACGTACCCTATCAAGAAGCAAATACACAATTTATTAAAGTAGCAATCATCCTGTGGCATCAATTTCGTATGGAACCTTTTTTATAAAATCATTGACTTCTAGCTTCCTTTAAATACTAAGATAATTTGTGGTAGAATCCCACAAGGAATATAATCAAACGTTTGAATAAGAAAGGCTTTAATCTCATTGCGATGGTTACTTGTAAGAGACTTCAGCTATAAGATCGGCGTATAGTGTAGTTTAAATCGGAAAATAATTCTAACGTTAAATAATTTACAATTATATCCTTAAATTATATAAATTTTTAAAGTTTTAAAAGTCGATCAATATTTAATGGATATTTTAGTCGTTCAACATTTAGCATAAATTATTCGTGCTTTTATAATAATATAGATAGATAGATAGATAGAAGATTATTTGTGCTTTGTGCCGTCACTATTACATACAATTCAATTTTACTATTTTTGAATCATGAATCATAAAGCTTATTTTTTCTAATCCCTGTTTAATACAATGGTATATTTAAAAGGAGTAAGGGAATCGTCATTCTTCTAAGGAAGACAAACACTACTACTAGAATAAAGGAACAGTTGAATTGAGCTCGTTAGGTAACTTTTAACGTATTCTTCTGGTTTATTGAAGGCGTTTGTTGGGGAAAGTTGAAAATTTGAACTTTAATTCTTTGACCAAATTTTGACTCTCTTTATATACTCCCTCCGATATTGTAAATCTTGTTTATGTTCCAATCCATGACCTCATTTCCTATTATGTGAAAATAATTTAATTTAAAATTTTATTTGATCCTTAATAAAAAGCTTCTATAGTCAGGGGCGGATTTAGGGGACGGACCCGAACCCCCTTCGCCGAAAAATTACGCTGTATATATAAGGCAAAATCTATTTTTTATCTCTATATATTAAGTTCTGAATCCCTTTGAAACCCCCTTGGTGACGATCCTGCCTCCGACACTGTCTACAATTAGACAAATATTATGGTATATTTAAGATTACAAGTTAATTAGGTTCTAAATTTCATATTTAATGAATGTTTTAATGCAAGTTTGAACAAAAACTATTAAGTTCTACCGAATCCGCATTCTAGCTTCGCTCCTCCCCGGTTTCTAAAATCTTCATTCTTAAGTATTTTATTTTATAATCCCTCTAACTTGCCTAAACCTGATATAGATTCAGAAAGAAGTTTCCCGTACAGATTTGTTCCAGGTTAAATACCAAGTGCCTTATTGACAGTTGCCATTTGTCAAGCAGGCAGATCATTATATATATGTAATTAACATGGGCCAAAGTATAATTAATAAGCATGTGAATCGAATAGGCATCACAGTTTTGTCTATATTGAATTTTTTGTTTGAGCCAACTCAGATATGAAGGAAGAGTGGTGCAGTTAAAAGTAGATTTCTTAATGTTTAAATCTCATATAATGTATGTATACACTAATTAGAGGATGTTGATCTTTACTTAACATGCAATATCTTTCTAATGCTTAATCAAAAAGAAAGAGAGAAGTGTGCACATAATGAGTAGTAGTAAATCTTACACAAAGGGATTGCCCTAATTAGCTAATTCCAATACTTAATCGTGTACTTGCTATCTCTCATCGTTTTCGTTGAAGTTTATCATTTTTATTTAGCACATCATTTTTGGATATCGTTGAATATTTTATTTACTTATCACAATAAATGATTTAAAGAAATTAACTTTTACAAAAATTGTGTGAAAAATTAATTGACTTGTGTTTACAAGATTAAATATTCATACTGTGCAACCCACCGGAAAATTTGCTTTTAAAAAATGAAAACTAAGAACAGTTGATAATTTTTTTTCCATATAAACATAAGTTTATCCACGACGATATAAGATATTTGCATATTAATGTAACTGACCAATTACAACATGTTTAACTACCATATTGTCCAAGCTAGTCATGATTGGCATAGACACTCACTCTAGCTGATTGTGTATATATACTCTACATTGTCTGCGAATAAAACTTAAACTAATTTGTTATCCATCCTGTGCAGATTGGTTGAAGAGGAGCCTTGAAGCAACAACAAAAGTTGCTGCCATATAACCTATAGGTCACGGGTTCGAACCATGAAAGTAACCACTAATGCTTGCATTAGGATAGGATGTCTACAACATACCCTTAGGTGCGGTCCTTCCCCGGACCCTTTGTGAATGCGGGATGCTTCGTGCATCAGGCTAGCCTCACTATGTAGATTGGTCATCAATGAACAACGATATAGCCTATTACTAGATTCCCAAGAATGGGACTTGGAACTTGAATTGATTAATACATGAATAATCATGTTCTGCATTTGCATGCATGTACCTGATTCTACAACAACATAAAAGCTACATCTCAGCTGCTTGGAAATGGTAGCTCTCTGGAGTTGGCTAATGCTGTATTATTATCAGGTGCTAGAATCTGCATTTACAATGCAACTGTATCTAGACCTCCCTCCCAGTTCCATCTGTTAACTCTTCCAGTTGATCTTACTCCGCAGCCGGAGGATCCACCCAGCAGCCGTTATCTTTAATTAGCTGGATCAAGGCATCTGTTGCATGCTCCATTTGAATACCGCGTTTTACCACCGCCTGATAGAAATTTCGTTCACCAGTAACTGAAACATATTAGTTAAAAGTATTACAAAATTTGAAAGCTAGCAGTTCTTTATATTGTATTCCAATGGCTCAAAGATTTGTTTTGCTTCTTGCTACTGAAGACACTACCAGTGTGTTTTAAGGAATTATATGAGACAAATTGGTACTCCTTTCAGAAAAATTACATGTATAACTTCATTTTCTTTAGCTGTTTTTTGAGCAAATTGCGTACGCTTGAAGGACTACAAGCTGTGCTATCTTGGCATTTTCAGTTGAGAGATAACAACAACCATGTAGCATATGCGCATCTAGTTTTGATTATCTTTTAGGCCAGTATGTTGGCTGAAGAGGCATTGTCCACTCGCACTTTTTGTACTTCAAGTGACATTTTGTCTTAAATTTTCTTTCAGTTGACATTATATAGTGAATAGGGCAAGCCAGACGCGTCTTACTTGGTAACTAGCGAGGAAGTTCTTAGTTGTGAAGAGCATTAATAAAATAAGGAAAATCAAAGCTTGGTACCTTGCCGACGTAAAGGTCAATCTTCCCAGGAGCACCACCAACATATCCAAAGTCCGCATCAGCCATCTCCCCAGGTCCATTCACAATGCAGCCCATGATGGCAATCTGAAAAGGAAATTAACGACACAACACAAACCATTTTTACAGATAGAAATTTAAGAAATTCAATGACAGTAAGCATTAGGGTCGTGTAATTACTGAAACACCGGGCAAGTGTGACGTCTTCTCCCTTATTTGAGCACTTATCTCTTGAAGATCAAATAAAGTTCTGCCACACGATGGGCATGATACGTACTCCTGAAAGGGATACACATAATATGGAAAGAAATCATGTTACTATGAATTAGTTCAGATTCTTGCTTTATCCATTCACTTTCATTACCGTTTTTGTATTCCGCATTCTGCAACCTTGAAGCAAATTGAAAGACGTATTTCTGAGGAAATCAAAATCCTGATCTGGAGCTTCCAACAGAATACCATCTCCGAGCCCATCTACCAAGAGAGCCCCAGCATTTGCCCCAGCACCAATCACTAAATCATCCCTGTCATATTGAAATTTTCATAAGCTAAATTCTACATAACCTCCACATGTCAGATTTTAGGTAAGTGAAGTCTGATTTACTATACCTGTGGGTATCATTGGGAAAGTGTATGTGATGAATCACTGGGAAGTTCAATGAATTCTCAGAGAGATACTCAAAAAGCCTGCAACAGATGATATTTTCAGGTTATTAGAGTCAAAAAATTAGAGACATGAAAATGCAGCAGCCAAGTATGTTTCCTCTCGTAATGTCTGCGTTTAAGAAAGTTTATACAAGTGAGATATGTAAGTGCACGTATGTCATATTGATTAAGCCGTCAAGACTAACTGGTAGCAACTTTGACTGTTGCGGAAGCCAAATGTATATAGTGTGAATAAGTCACAATTACTATACCAAAAATTATGACAGCCACCAAATAATAAATAAGACAATAAAGCAACAATAAAAGGAACACCAGAATTTTGCCTACTTCCTCGGACACAACCAATATTTTATTCAACTCCAAAATACAAGTGAAATAATACTAAAGAGAGAAGATACAAATGCCTTAAGAAGATAAGAAGGCAAATGAGAGGTGTATTTAAATCCTAAACATTAGGCCTTCTTTTATAGGGAAAATTTCCCAAACCCAAATTGTCACCCACCGATGTGGGACTTTTGACAATCAACAAATCTTCACCTTGGCAAAATTCCACAACTTCAACTTTCTCGCAATAACAAATTTTGGTTGTGTCTTCATCTTCAATCTTCAGTGTTCAACAATGTTGATCAAATCCAAACAATGTTGAAACTTGACCGCATTCACCACTTTTGTCAGCATATCAGCAGGATTCTGTGTAGTATGAATATTTTTCACCGTGACTCCACCTTCTTCTATGATTTCTCATACGAAATGATACCGAACATCAATGTGCTTCGTCCTTGCATGATAAACTTGGTTCTTCGCTAATTGTATAGCACTTTGACTATCACAAAAATTGTGATACTTTTTTGTTCAACACCAAGCTCTTTTAGCAACCCCTGAAGCCAAATTGCCTCTTTCACAGCCTCTGTAATAGCCATGTACTCCGCCTCTGTTGTAGACAAAGCAACTGTTAACTATAAAGTAGACTTCCAACTAACTGACGCCTTTGCAAAAGTAAACACATAACCAGTAGTTGATCTTCGTTTGTCCAGATCACCCGCAAAATCTGAGTCACAATATCCAACTACAGACTGATTGTCTTCCTGCTCAAAAACTAACCCAACATCTACAGTATTGTGAATATACCGTCGAATCCACTTCACAGCTTGCCAATGTTCCTTTCCTGGATTATGCATATATCTGCTAATAATTCCAACAACTTGTGAAATGTCCGGTCTCGTACAGACCATTGCATACATCAAGCTACCAACAACATTTGCATATGGTACCCTTGACATATACTCCTGTTCAGCTTCATCTTTTGGCGACATAGTAGTACTTAGCTTAAAATGGGGAGCAAGTGGAGTACTAACCGGCTTAGTCTTCTCATCTATGCCAAAACGTTGCAGTACTCTCTTCAAATATTCTTTGTGAGATAAACAGAGTTTCTTTGAACATCTATCTCTTATTATCTCTATGCCAAGAATTTTCCTTGCCTCACCCAGATCCTTCATCTCGAACTCCTTCTTCAGTTGAGTCTTCAACTTATCAATTTCTTCCGAATTCTTGGAAGCTATCAACATATCATCAACATATAGGAGAAGATATATAAAGGAACCATCTTTAAGCTTGCGCAAATACACACAATGATCGTATTTGCTTCTCTTGTACCCTTGCCGCAACATAAACTTGTCAAATCGCTTGTACCATTGTCTAGAAGATTGTTTCAATCCGTACAACGATTTTTCAAGTTTGCACACCATATTTTCTTTTCCAGCAACTTTGAATCCTTCTGGCTGAGTCATGTAGATTTCCTCCTCCAAGTTTCCATGTAAAAACGCAGTTTTTACATCCATCTGAACTAGTTCCAAATCCAATTGTGCTACCAAAGCCAACATAATTCTAATGGAGGAATGTTTTACAACTGGAGAAAACACTTCATTGTAATCAATTCCCTTCTTTTGAGCATATCCTTTGGCCACCAATCTTGCTTTGTAGCGAACATCTTCTTAGTTAGGAAATCCTTCTTTCTTTGCAAATACCCCATTGCACCCAATTGCTTTCTTTCCCTTCGGGAGATTGGCCAATATCCATGTATGATTCTGATGAAGGGATTCTATTTCATCATTCATGGAAATCCTCCACTTATCTTCTTCTGAACTTTGGACTGCATCTTTATAAGTGGTAGGAACATCATCAGCTACAATTGAGGCGGCACAAGCAATCGTCTCTATAAGACGAACAAGTTTTGTTATTGTCCTTTTTGGCCTGCTGGTTGCTATTGATTCAAATTGTTGTTGAGGTTTCTGAGTTGGAATCTCCCTCTCTACTGGCTCTTCTTCCAGAGGATAATCTTCATTTGTTTCCTCCTCTGCTTCTTGTGTAGGAAAAATAAATTTTCCCTCAACTCCACCTGCTTAGAAGCACCCTCATTTTGTTTGGTATTTTCTGTTACCTTATTTACCATAGCAGATTCATCAAAGGTAACATCCTTGCTGAATATTACTTTCTTTGTCATAAGACACCATAAGCGATATCCTTTGACTCCAAAAGTAATCCCCATAAAAATAGCCTTCACTGCCCATGGATCCAATTTTGACACTATCACATGATAATATGCAGTTGAGCCAAATACGTGCAAAGAGTCATAATCTACAACAGGCTTTCCATACCATTTTTCAAATGGTGTCTTGCCATCAATAGCAGCAGATGGTAGACGATTAATGAGGTGGCATGCATATGT